CTGCTCCAGCTTATTCTCGGGTTGCCTGCCTCGCTACCCGGCCCTGCAGGGGCTGTCCTTCCCAGAGCCTCTCCTGCCAGGTGCTAGCAGCCTCGGGGCTGCGGCCTGTCCCAGCGTTACCCGCCTCCTCCGGGCCTTTCCTCGGCGTGTTACTGACCCGTCGGGCCCCGGGGTGGCAGTCCTTGCCTGGGGTATGTGCCTGGGGGTGAGGGAGCCACCAGTGCCACAGCACCCCGGGAGGCAGCTCAGTAAAGGGCGAAGGGACTAAACCAAACCAAGGAGGGCTGCGCTGGGCCTTGGCGCCGCTTGGAAGCGTTTCATAGAGGTTGGGTTTCTTATTAGCCAAGAGATGCTGCCCCCCCCCCTGCCCCAACCCCACGCAGCCATGCAGAAGAGGGGTTGGCACCTGAAAAGTGTGGGTTATCACAGCGTGTATTAAATGTACTGTGGAGAGCTGGGGTTTGGGAAAGCTAAAGGGTGAGCCAAGGCCAGGTGGGGTGTGGATTTGGAGCATGAGCCCTTTTTAAAGTATTTCTGCTGGAAAAATCATAATCAAGGCGGGAGGTGGCAGTGACTTAATTTGGCATAGCTGCCAGTTTACCTTGGGCAGCAGCCTAGGAAAATATGCCAGTAATAAAAGAATGGAAGGCAACTGGCCCTCTTGGTTGGTATTGTCCCTGAGCCTTGCTAATGGGGTAACAGCACCGAGCATCCTCCAGGGGAGAAATGAAAGACCATCCCATATGCCAGCCTGGCCTGCCTTTGGCCCAGCCTCACCCTCCACTAGCTGCAGGTTGCGTCCGCAGGGAGGTCAGGTTACCTCCTTGAATAGCCCTGGTCATGGCAGGAGGCAGGATCCTGACTGAACAACTGCCCTGCCAGCAGCTTTATTCCCACCAACCCTCTATGGTATTCAAAGACAGACCCTCAGTGAAAAGTTGTTTCTTTTGATTTTTTTTTTTTTTTCCTGGGAAAAAACTCAAGCTCATCCATGGATTTTAATTGCTGTGGAAATCTGATGTGAATTGGATGTGACTATATGCAGACAATTGCTGTCTTTCACACACCTGCGTATGGCTTTTGCAACATTTAGCCTGTAAATCTTATACCACTGTCAACAGCGTTTATATCCTGAGATCCTCTGGAAGCCTGGGGCTTGACAGAAAACTAATACCCCATATAGCGAGACATTTGCAGGAGCTTGTCATTGCAGACTGTATTGTTCTGAAATCTGCGCTTTCTTCCTCAGAACTGTCCACAGAAGTGCCCTGAATCATATTTGCTTCTACACACCTCTGGGAAGCTGTGGAAAACCCACTCCCTCAGCCAGGCATGTGGGACAAATTTGCTTCTTCCTGCTGGATTTTACAACTGCAAACAAGGCTTGAAAACAAAACAAAACAAAACAAAAACTCACCAGCAACACCAGCAGCCCTGCTCTGAACATGTGGGATGCTTCCCTGGATCACTGCTCATTTCCTGGAGTGAAACTCAGACACACTGGTTCAGTGCTGTCCTGAAGTGTGTGGAGGCTTTTTTTTTCCTCTCTCTCGTTCTTTTCTTTTCCCTCCTTCCTTGTGTTGATTTGTGGGGCCAGAATGACTTTGATTTCAGCAAGTTTGCTGTTTATTCACGTCACAAGTTTGACAGCTTTACACCAAATCAGATTGCTGGGTTTCAGGAGAGCTCTGAGGCGTCACTGGGAGCTCCTTTAGATTAAACTCGCCTCCCCGGTCTCCCCCCTCTCCCCCTCCTTCAGAGCCATTTAAACCTCGCTGGGGCTTTAACAGAAACGTGCTCCCAAGATCTGCATTTCATTCTGCCACTAACATGGTAAGTCCTCTTTGCATTTCTCTCGACCTGAAGACAGAAAAGGAGAAGCTAGTCTCTTTGCCTTGGGGGCTTGCAGCAGGTTTTGTGCCCTCTTTAAGATGGGGAAGGAAGAGGGCTCTCCTCTACCTGCAAGAACAATCTCTGCTGCTGTGCCTTCCCATGGGTGAGCAGATCCCCTGCTTGAGGCTCCAAGCCCTGGCTGTTGCCTTGCAGAGACCCAGAGCTGCTGCAGATGGGGCTTATTTGGAGGAGGGAAAAGGGGTGAATCCAGAGACAATCCCAGGCTTTGCTGCTGTGCGGTCTGGGACTCCTGCAGAACTCCAGGGGCAGAAGAGAGTGCGAGCAGCGTGGAGGTGACTCTGCTGGCTTTGTGCAGCTTCAGAGCTGAATCAAGCCCCCATGGTGGGAGGAAGGGACTGGCCAAGGACAGCCTGCGTCCTCCCTACACCTTAAAACCACTCAGGACCCTAGTACTTCCCAAGAGCTTGCAGGAAACTCAGCCACCCTCCTGGCATACCTCTGCCCGGAGCCCCTCTGCTGCGGGGGCTGCACTGCCCGGCGGAGGCGGTGGTAGCAGGGCGGTGCGGTGCCACCGGGCGGGTGGGGGTTGAGAGCGGACACCCGGGTCAAGGCTGGGAGCTCCCACGGGGGCAGGCGGAGAGGTGGCCGGGGCTGCGGGTCCCCTCCGCGACAGGTACCTG